GGAGACAGCTGTCGAGCTCTAACCAACTGAGCTACAGAGAGACAGCTGTCGAGCTCTAACCAACTGAGCTACAGAGAGACAGCTGTCGAGCTCTAACCAACTGAGCTACAGAGAGACAGCTGTCGAGCTCTAACCAACTGAGCTACAGAGAGACAGTTGTCGAGCTCTAACCAACTGAGCTACAGAGAGACAGTTGTCGAGCTCTAACCAACTGAGCTACAGAGAGACAGTTGTCGAGCTCTAACCAACTGAGCTACAGAGAGACAGTTGTCAAGCTCTAACCAACTGTGCTACAGAGGCCATGCAGTTGTCAAGCTCTAACCAACTGTGCTACAGAGAGACAGTTGTCAAGCTCTAACCGCAAGTTCACTGATGAATACATACCAAGGTACCAATGTAAGATGTATGGGTAAATAATGATGGCCAAAATATGATATTTACTCAACAACATGACAGGGGAAACAATAATTTGTTATGTTTCTTCCTAAAAAGTAGTTATCTGCATGGGGCCGGTTGTACGAAGGCTGTACAAGGATGGCGCTATCCATCGGATAGTGATTTTTCAATCTTTATTGTCCGTTTATTAATTAATTAAGTGGCCCATAATATTCATAGTGTCACAGCCTAGACCTAGGCCTTCTAGTCTTATTTATATTTTTTTAATATTCAGCGCTTTTTCACAGGAAAAGACTGGGACTAGGTGATTTGCGTCAGGCTTGTGTCCTTCCTCCGCGCCGCCCCCAAATCACCTAGTCCCAGTCTTATAATGTGAAAAAGCGCTGAATATTAAAAAAATATAAATAAAAATAGAAGGCCTAGGTCTAGGCTGATAGTGTCATAGTATTTCAAGCATTTTTATAACACGGTTGAAAAAAATCAGTATCCAGTGGATAGCATTTTCAGGTCTTCGTGAAACTGACCCCAGGGAGCCGTTGGCGGTGCTTCAAAGCTGGATCATACCGTCACCCTGGGTTAAAATTTCCCCCGCTGTTTCTGGTTTGGATACATCTGCCCGTTTGTTTATTTCAAATCTTTAAAACATAAAACTTCTATTGATCTAGACAAAATTTCTGGAAAACTTTCTCCATGTTTATAAACAAGCTGTGGCGAGGTTTGCTCTGGGATTAAACTAACCGGTTTTCGTACAACCGGACCCAAAAGGCTGCAAAATGATATATAGTCGAGGGTTTTTGTAGATGGAAATTATCGAGTGCAAATTTTATATACATTTATTAGACCTATAACCAGCTGCGAAAAATGCTACTTTAGGTCCCTGGCAGGAATTGAACCTGCGGCCCTGTGATTCCGGTGCAGTGCTCTAACCAACTGAGCTAGAGAGGCCTGTTGTCGAGCTGTAACCGTAAGTTCATATACATGAGTATATATACTAGCCCTAAGGGTACTGCCATGTTAAGATATGGGTGTATAGATATTAAAAGAACATTTTCAAAGCGAACTGAACGCATTTCCAAAATCATTAATTCTGTTTTTACAAAACACATGCCTATTGCCAAACACTGCGAGTTAATGGGTTATCAACTAGCAATTTATTAAACTAAACTGAGACGACATTCAGTCTGTTTATTTGACAAAGGTATATTTGGATATTAAAACCAGTGGCGTAATATATATAATACTTGAAAATTAACAGAGAACGCGTTTAGTATAATTGTTCTACTGCTTTAAAATATAGATAAAACAAACCAAAATAGCATACTAATTGTCTTTTTTGTTGCTTCGTATATGATAATAATGAAAAGAATCGACACGGTAGTTTTTGAAAGGTTGGCGTCCGTTTTAAGACAATATTTACTTTAAAAAGACGCATTGAATTGACAATTTATAACGCATACAGACGCATCTGTGTTTAATTGTTGTAACTGTTTCTGTGAGGGTATAAAAAGGTCGTGAATTTGGTGTTAAGCTAACAGATCAGTGAATGAAGTTCTAGGTGTATATAGTTGCTTAGACTGAAGACCGAGAAAAATAGAAGAATGAAGTGTTATATTTTTGGAGTCCTTTTCTTGTTATGTTTGGTAGTGGTTTTACCAGAGCGCGGCGAGGCATACTCGGCGTCAACTGGAAGATTTGGCGACCAAATTAAGGTGTGGTATAGTACTTTTTATATATAGTACTTATTCTTTTACACCATAGTGACCCAACTTTTGCGTAAAACTGTCGCATGCAACCTGTTTACAACTTGAGTTGTACTGCATGTGTAAATCAAGAATACAATTAACTCACTATACGACAATGCGATTCAATTGTGGCTTTCACCTATCTCTGTGCATGACTTGATCTTCTGGTTGTGATTTTTTCTGCATGCAGTAACACTGGAGCTATATAAGAGAGACTCTTACTGAACCTCTACAAGCAAAACTGATAGAGCTATCTAGTATAAATAAAGCTATACAATTCAGTTATTTTGCGAAATCAGTTCGACTAAATTCCGTTATCAGACATGAGTCACATTGTTGACCGGTCAATAAATGTTTCATTGTGGACCGGTTGCCTCCTCGGCAAAGCACGCAGTGAACGTGACGTTTTGTGGACCGCCACGTGATACGACAATAGTAGCTTTCAGGGTGTTAGCTAGCCCATATACTGTCCGTTTGACGGACTCTTCCCAATTGAAGTAGCTAAGGGGCTTTCCCAATTGGGTCTACTGGAAGATTTTCATTTTTTCTGATGAGAAAGTGCATTGCGTTTGATTTTATATTATTATATCAAAGAACGTTTTATTTACTTTTTCCCATTAACTATTTTCTCAAAATGTATCGCGTTTCATTCATATTGGGTGACTGTGTATTCATCGAAATGAAATGTACAAAACAAAGTGCCATCGGGTGCATTTTTTAGTGTCATTCACCGGAAATGAAATGTACAAAACCAAGCTACCGTTGTTTGCATCTAAGGAGAAACACGTTGGAAAAAACACTATTTATTCCTGCACAAGGACTTTGATCGGTCAAAAAAACTTTCCCAATTTACGTTCAACGGACAAAACTTTTTTTTCTGGCTAACACCCTGGCTTTAATTAACGTGTGTAAAATGCATGAAATAGCGTTTTACAAACCTTAATAGAAAAATTTTGTACCCCCAAATGGCCGGACGATTGCACCCTGCAGAGAAATGTATATGTCATGCAGAGAAATGTATATGCCCAATGAACACAGCTAACAACACTTTATTTGTCACTATTTCTTAGTTAAAAAGAATGTTCAATAGCCAGTTCCATTCTGGCCATGCAGGAATGAAAGGAAAGCCGTTCAAATATCAATATCAAGTTTTGGAAGAAAATGAAAATGAACTGGTTTAACGAGAGTCTTATGACGTGCACAGAATTGTAATATAGCCAGAATGAAAACCTCAGTGTATTTATGAAATGGCGGATTAAAAATTTATAGGAATTGTCGATGATGAGCATAGAGGAGAGCCTGGGTTCCAGTTTGAATATGAACTACGATTATGCAAAAATGTTAAAATTGATATAGCGTAGTTATAATTGTGAATATAAATACACAACAATGATGTTTTTCTTCATATTCATTGGTTATCAAGTTACTGCTTCTCAATCTGCCTTTTTCCTGGCTAGGTAAACAGGTGGGAAATTTGTCTGAGCATGCGCGAGTAAAATGAGCCACGCAGTTGCGTGGAATACACGCAACGCGTGTTTACAAAAAGGCACAATCGTGTAAATATTGCCAAATGTTTGTACAAAATAAATGACTGTTTTATGTTGAAAGAGTAGACATGATCTAAATTAATCATACAGAATTTTTTAGTGACGTTCTATTTCAGTACCCTGCCATTGTCTCTGGTGGGCTGTCCGTGTGCATTCGATCTGAAACAGTTGCTACTTTGCTGTCGAAGAATTTCGAATGTTTACATGAAAATAGAGGCAAGTCATGCATTTTACAACCTCTTAAACTGTATGAGCCCCTATTTTTACGCTTATACCTAAGATATCAAATAAAAGTACATGAAACAGAGAACATTTGTAGAAAGTTTTATCGTGAGGCCACGGCCAGTTTTTAAAATATCTTTATTTCTGTTCCGGTCATCACCAAAATTACACAAAAGCCGGGCTTGAATATACAACAAATTTTGAATCTCATCAAGCACAAAAATACTTAACGTGTAACCAAAATATGCTCATGAAATCGAAATTAATAGCTAAATTTTCAAACTAGACCCTTCTCGAAGCGGTTTTCATGAAGGAAGTTCACATTTCGGCCTTTGATTCTTGGCAAAAATTTGACCACAACACGTGCGAAGCAACTGGGTCTCAAAGACTGAACTAAAACATTGTGAGCCCCTATTTTCCTGACGATATGTTTGATACCTACAAACGCCGAAAAGTTTTTTCTTTTCATTTAGCTATATTTGAAATTGAGGCCACGGGCTATTTTTGAGAAACTACAGTTCAAAGTCAAGCTATTTTTACATATTTTCAAAATTTGTCAAATTTCGCGAGCTTGTATTTTGAACTTAGACAGCTGAAGTTACATTATGAAACATAGGATGGAAAATTTGAGGCATATAAAGTTAATTTCAACTTACATTTCATTCTCAAATCACGTCTTTCTTCGTTTATTACGGTTTTAAACAAGCCATAGATCGACGTATACGGTATTTACTCCCATGTTCACGTCGCCATATTAACTTCTTCCAATCACTCGATTACAAAACAATCATCCCAAAACAAAGAATTCATGATCGACTTTTAAAAGAATAACCAATAATTTGCAAATCGTTGAATGGAAAGCAAAAAATCGTCAGCTAAAACAGCTTCTTGCTAACTTTCTGCTTTGTTTTGAATGTAAATGCAATGAGCTTTGTTTCTGCCCGCAATTTTTTGGTCAGCGACGACAAATTTCCCACCTGTTGTTGGACACACGACTCTGCAGGAGAACTTAACCTGCAAACGGGCATATTGGGTGCGAGATTGGCAATGCTAAATCACATGCCTCGTGTGGTTTACGCGCGTGGGGTGCGTGGATCGCAGGACGCGAGCGTGACGTAACGGCGCCGCTAACCAAGGAGCCTGGATACGAGGCAGATAAGCCACCTGGGTCGTGAAATGATTTCATATCGATTATTGCTTTTTGCTTAACTTCGTTTCGCCTAGCAAAATAATTTATCATCTTTCTAACATCTCGTTAATTTGCAATCAAATGCTTATTTGCCGCTCATATTATTAAACACAGCGTGTAATTTCTCTGTCATGAAAGATCGATGGTTTGCATAGCGTAATTCTGTTTAAACTACTTTATCTTTTTAACCTTGACAAGCCACTAAGTCAATATACTATATTATTTACTAGCTGAGTCAGTTTTCTTTGATGTACCGCGGGATGTATATACAGGCTATAAGCCGTGAATAAATAATTTGACTAAACTTGTCGACAAAACTCGTAAAATCTTGATCGAAAGTCTTTGAAATTGATGAAACCTTGTTCGAAAACCTCCTCGACTAGTAAATAAGTATAGGTTATCAGTATAACTACATCGGTAATTATATACTAATTTTGATACAAATGATTTTTTGACACTAATTTTTGGCATTTTCAAAAACAGCAGTTCAACGTTCAAACATCAATAGCGCAGTCAATATTGCATGCAAATTCAAGTGCTATATATCGAAATCTACGTTAGTCCTTTCTGAATGAAATGATCTTTGTTTCACTGCCATAGCTTTTATAGCTTTTACGTTACATGAAATCAAACATTGTCCGGTATATACTAAGGTGCCAATGTAAGGAGTAGGCCTATGGGTAAATAATGATGCCCAAATATGATATTTACTGAACAACATGATAGAGGAAACACTTCCCTTATAGGTTTCATAAAATAATTTGTTTATGTTCTTCCTAGAGGTAGCTGTCTGCATGAGGCCGGTTGTACGTGATTTTTCAATCTGTATTTACCGTTTATTGGTATAAACCCAAACTAAACTTTATGGCGTTTATTAATTAATTGCGTAGCCCATGATATCCGTACGGCATAATTTTTTCAAGCATTTTTATAACACGGTTGAAAAAAAAATCAATATCCAATGGATACGGTTATCAGGTCTTTGGGCAACTGACTCCATGGCGCCGTTGGCGGTGCTTCAAAGCTGGATTATACCGTCATCCCGGGTTTAAATTTACCCCGCTGTTTCTGGTTTGGATACATCTGCCCGTTTGTTTATCTCAAATCTTTAAAAAATAAAACTTTTATTGATCTAGACAAAATTTCTGGAAAACTTTCTCCATGTTTATAAACAGGCTGTGGCGAGGTTTGCTTTGGCGTTTTTCATTATAATCTGGGATTAACCTAACCGGTTTTCGTCCAACCGGACGCAAAAGGCTAAATCATATAATATGCAGTGCAAAATGATATAGTCGAAATTATAGAGTGTAAATTTATCTACCGTATATATTTATTAGACCTAACCATGCAGGAACAGCTGCGAAAAATGCAAGTATAGGTCCCTGGCAGGAATCGAACCCTGCGGTCCTGTGATTCCGGTGCAGCGCTCTAACCAACTGAGCTACAGAGTCAATTGTCGATCTCTAACCACAAGTTCATGCATGTATATAAGAGACTTTATTTAAAGAGGATGACACTTGACAGTACGAATACTGATGACTCCGTGGTCCTCAAAGGGTACTGCCATGTTAGGTTACTGCCATGTTAGGTTATGGATAAAAATGAAGATTTTTGTGGCATCTCACTCGAATGAATAGTATTTGATGGGTATTGTAGATGGAAATTGTCAAGTGTAAATTTATATACATTTATTAAACCTAACCAGGAACAGAAACGAAAAATGCAACTGAGCTACAGGCTACAACTGAGCTACAGGCTACAACTGAGGCCAGTTGTCGAGCTCTAACCACGAGTTCATGCATGTATACTGTACACTAGCCCTCCTTACTGCCATTTTAAGATATGGATGTAAATGTGAAGATTTTGTTGGTATGAACATGTAGCTCAGTTGTTTAAGAGTGCTGCACCAGAATCGCAGGGACGCAGGTTCGATCGATTCCTGCCAGAAGACGTACAGAGTTGCATTTTTGCAGCTGTTTCTGGTTACGTCTCATAAATGTATATAAATTTACACTCGATATAATTTCCATCCCCAAAGTGTTCAACTATTATTCAATCGTGTGAGATGCCAACAGAATCTTGATATTCATTGCTAAATAATTTAGAATAATTCACACAACCCTGCTATGTATTTCTATAGACGAAGACGCCTGCACATGCAGGTGCTTACTGCGGTAACCTGCTCTTCTCCGCAGACGATGCCTGAAAGATGTAGATTTTGACATTTGAATGTTATAAACAAATCGGAAATGAAAATCCCAATCAGGGCTAGGGGCGCCGAAGGAAGCTCAGTGTAGTTATAGTCAGTTTTAAAGTGTTCATGCCCAATTTTATTAAGAGGCACTGACGTGTTACTCTTGGCTATATATCTGATGTCAAGTTGAATCCATTTTCAAACAAAAATGCGATACATTGTTATAAACATCTCATATATTAATATTATATGAACCTCGAAAATTTAAAATTTGTTTCGACCGAATGAGATATATATTTAGTATAAGTGGTGCATGTATTTAGCGCTTTACACGTGTGAAATAAATGACAGTCACGCTTGGTCAAACAGCAGAAGTCATGTATAAATTTCGCTTCAACATCGTTTTCTAATGACGTGTACGAAAAAGTAAAAGAAATTCCCTTATTCAAAACTTGTACGGATAGATTTTTTTTCAGAGAGACTTGTCAAGGAAACTGTCTTGTAATTTTTTGTTGCCATAAATCCATGAACTTGTCAAGGGCATTTGTCAAATAAAGATTGTGTTCTTCCACGACTTATGGGATGGCCCATCTCAATAGTTATGTTGGTGATAAGCCTAGTTTATAGTATCAAAGTTTCTGTGATCACAGTAGGAATTTTGCATCAGTAAATTCCAAGTTTTGAAGGATTTGTAAGAAATGGTTGGGCAAACTGACTTGGTGTTTAACACTAATGCCCGTATTCTAAAAGCTCACTCACACTCAGAGAGTGGAGGTTCAATCTGAGCTTCTCTTGAGTGTCAGTTCTCACCCTCCAGCTATTCAAAACCAGCACTGACACTTCAGAAAAGCTCAGATTGAACATCCACTCTTTGAGTGAGTAGGAGTGAGCTTTCAGAATACAGGCGTATATGTCAGTTCCCTCGAATTAACATTTCTTACAAATCCTTCAAAACATAAAATCTATATACCTATGCAAAATTCCTACTGTGATCACAGAAACTTTGATAGTGTAAACCAGGTTTCAGATTTAGTGGACAAACTGTTCATTTGTAGCAATATATGATGGAGAATGTTTAAACGAATCCATGATTAATTGAAAAAGATCTGCGAGATAGTACTCCTTAGTTGCTCACAATCTTAAAAACCTTGAATTCAACTGAAAAATGTTCAGGAAATAGCACAAAGCGTCAATAATTGCATCAATATATTTTTGCTATGATGTTTTTCACGACAAGGCCTTAAAAGTATAGGTTTTTGAAAATTAGAGAGATTTTTATTGTTATTTAGTGTATTGATTGTGGTCTTTGCCTATAGCTGACATTTGAACCCTAAACATTTGAACCCTTTGGCTCACGTATACGCATAACGTTTGTGTGTTTTATCTCTGCATGAACTACCCGAAGAAAGATTTAAAACACTTAGACGCTAATTTAAGCTTATTCTAGTATACCATACCTACACTACATGCATGTATGGACCCAAATCTTTCAGGTCATTTTATATATTGGGCATTTTATCAAAAGTAAAATCCTCTTGGTTTTCGTAGGCCGATTATAGCTTAACCCTACCTAAAATTCAAAGGAAACTTGCCAACAACTTGTTTATAAATTTAGAAGTATTTCTTCAGAAATCTTGTCTGGATCAGTACGAGTTTTCTTCTCTGATGTTTTGAAATAAACAGAATATGAATTTCCGCGTGCAGAAATACATAAACTAAAACAGCAGGTTAAATTTTAACCAATTAAGAGTAGTGCTAACCGAACCCATGCAGATGGAAGAGTGAAATTAACGCAAACTGTGTCAAAAACTGGGCCCACATACATGTGACTGAAGCGACGCTTTAACTTGGATTCTAATATTTAAAATAAACCAAACATCCACGCACATCTGCTAGCATATGCATGCTGACTCATTATCCTTTCAGGCTGAAACAATATATGCAAATTACTTATAAATTGTAAGACACAACACTTCATTAAAGGACATCATCAAATATATAATATTAAAGAAATCAAATTAATAGACATGCACTAGAGTGTAAAACGACGCACCCACGTTTTCACTACGAGTTATTAAACTTACTTTATATATTAGAAGTTCCACAGTCATTATATTTTAACCGTTTTTTTCTGGGTTTCTAATATTAAATTAAGGTGGTTTACACCATCAAAATTTCTGTGATCACATGCAGTAGGAATTTTGTGTTGGTAAATTTTATAGGTTTTGAAGAATTTGTAAGAAATATTCGAGGGGACTGGCTCAGTGTTAAACACTCAATCAGTTCCCTCAAACGTTTCTTACAAATCCTTCAAAACTTAGAATTTACCCATGCAAAATTCCTACTGTGCTCACAGAAACTTTGATAGTATATATAAACCAGAGACTTTACATTGTAATGTCAAAGATTGCAGAAATGTTTTTAAGGATGTTTCGGTTTCAAAAGAAGAAATATTTTGACACTGAAATAGCTACATTTTACAAAACCTGCAAAATTTGAAAGACACTGAAAATCCATATTCAATGATCATTTATAAAGCCACCAAAAAAGACTAATAACTTTAAAACAGTAAAAACAACGTGACATACACGAGGGAATTTCTGCAAGGTGCCAATCCGCCTTTGGGAAATCTTACATGCAAAAATGATAATCGTCAATTTTTCGAGTTGCATATTAGGGGTCATCCTCAGACAAATTTAGAATTGCCCATGTTTCGACAAGAACAGACTGTGAGGTATAGTGAAGACAGGTAACGAGAGACGAGGTCATGTGGCGTATTGGATACCTGAATAGCAAAAGGAGGGTCCTGGGGCATGCTCCCCCGAAACATTTTGAATTTTAGAAGTCCAGAATAGCCATTTCCTGCGTTTTCAGAGTGACATTCTGTTTTGTTTTTGCCTTAACAATCTGTATGGACGCTTAATTTATAATTAATTTTCATATGAAGCTCGAAAACTCAGTTTTAGAAATGCTCATTTTAAGTTTTAGAACTTACACATCTTGGAAAATGGGAGGCCTTAGGATGAGCCCCGTTAATACACATCGTAACAGAACTTAATTTAATAACCCCGCTTATTTATCATGAAATTAGTAAAAACTATATTTATAAGGGCCGGTTGTCATACACGTATCTTCAAGCCATAAGCTTGAAAAGTATACCTCATATATGAACAATTTTCAGTATAGAACGGTTTGAAAAGAATTATTAAGGAAGTTATCTCTGTAAAGTTTGTTTGTTCTTCCCAGTTGGGAATAACTAAAAATGTATGAGAGATCCCATTCAATAATGAGGAAAGGATTTTCATACTTTGAGGAAATGAGCCAACAATGCAATGGCCAGCGGCAAACCGCATGAAAATAGGAATTTCTAATCAGAATACTGAATCAATAGAAAATGAATTAGAAATTTCCATCATGCATCCATAAGGTAAAGATCGAGCCATGAACTGATAACTCCATAAATAAACTCCTAGTTTCATATAGACAGCTGAAAATTGGTATGACTAATCTTGGCGGCATTTTGCCTCATAACGCTCGTGTAAGGATCAACCAAGAAACTTTAAAAATCTATTTGCTGTGTCATTACCACAAATTGATACAAACATAGTTTTCAATCCAGTCCCCCTTCGGCAATCTGATGTCCGTATTGACAGAAACATCGCTTAAGCGCGCTAACATAAAGTAAAATCCCACAAAATCTATAAAAAAACCCACACCGTCCCGCAGAACTCAACCGGAAATTACATATTTAATATAGATCTTCGAAGCGGACAATTTTCACGCGCCCAGACTGCCAAAACGAACGCAATTACTCGGGGTTTTGTAATTTGAACCGGAAAAAAAAAACGCTCCTCCGTACACAAAGTCTTATTAAAGTGTCGTTTTGGGTTTCGTCAAGCGATACCCATATTAAACGGCACAGGGGATTATATTTACAAAGCGCAAACAATGTCATGTTTTCGTCCCGCAGTGCAGGTGTTCACCTTGGGAAAACAGTTCATTAGCGACAACTGACAAAAGTTGAGTCCTTCAAATATTTGTCACTTTAACGACTTTTTAAATTGAACACTCCAACTAGGAATTGGTGAGAAAGTCTAAAAGTAATTGCGATAGAAAATAATTGCATGCGATCATTAGTTGTTAAAATTGAAAAATTTGTTTCAATTGCGGGAATTTTAAAAGTTTTCCTTTAGTATTCAAAGCATTTTGGTCCACTGTTACTGCAGAAAGAAAACTGAATTAAACTATATACCCTAACTTACAATGAATAACTATATCAGTTCTAAACTGTTCTCCATATAGAGGTTCAGTAAAGCCATCGCTTATTAATCCAGCTGTTATTACAGTTGGAAACTTAAACTAAACTACCTTATTTTGACTGGATAGTTCTAGAAACTGTTCCTCCTAGACACCCTATAGAGGTCTAGTAAGCGCTGATTGGGATTCCAGTGTTACTACAATTAAGAGGAACCAAAACTACATTTAGATCCAAAAATATTACACTGCGCTCATTTTTACTAGTCAAACTTAATATTATATACAAACCCACATCCCCATAGAATATACACAAAGACATTTGTAATGAACACCCACTTCAAACAGTAAATGAAAACGGAGTGTGAAATTAATAAAACACGAACTAGGCGTAATCCTCTGTATATTCCACAAATAAAACCGCTTCATTAATGAAAGTTGCTAATGACATTGTGTACTCAATTCTCATTAACATATCCAGCGATTACAGGTTATAAAATACGGCCGCATCTTGGATTTGGCCAAAAGTGTGTTGAGTCTTTACGAGAATTGTTTGAGAAACCAAAAGTGAAGATTCTTCAAAGATTAAAATGAAAACCGCAGTTGTCTTAATGGTTTTTGCCGTCTTGTTGGCAACAAGTTTTGTTCACGAGAGCGATGCTTTCGCTGCTGGTGGGGGCTCATTTGGAAAGAAAAGAACCTTAAAAAATCAGGTAAAATGACATTCAGTTTATATTAAGAAGCGATTTATATGTCGCATGTTTGCAATGAAAAGCGCTCAAAACCTCAAAATGACTTTGTTTTATCTTTATTTCCCAGTTTAGCTATACCTTTTCGAACGCATCTGGCGATCGGGAGACATAAAATAATAGCAGAATATTGTTGATTAAAATACAATTATCAATGATGCCATCGAGGGGCATTTCACTCCAAAACAGGGTACGGAATTTTTGGACTTTCAAAGTCGGTGGGTTTTTTGAAAGAAATTTTGTTGGATTTTTTTTACTTTTCCGGACTTTTTGTGGATTTCTCCCGGATTTGGGGGATTTTTTCGAATTTTTTTAGGATTTGAATAGATTTTTAAATTTGGGTTTTGAAGGATTTTCCAAATTGTACCGGATTTTTCCCGGATTTTTTTTTGTCTGGGAAGCGCACGGGATTTTTTGAGTGAAATGCACCTCGGAGGCCATATTTACGACAATAGCATAACACAATGGACGTCATGGGCATGAAGTTTGGCATACCATCTAAAATCTCTTCGTTTTAGCATGGTTTTATAGATAAAGCCCTAAACATGTACTTTTCAAAGTTTGTTTACCAATTGAGAAACATGTTTTGCAAAACGATATCTCAAAAATGCTTCTCAGAAAAAAGCTAACAAGGAATTATTTGCATCTGTTTTCACGGCGAATTATCATATAAAAGAACTAAGGACTAAAACAAGTCCAATGGCCTTCTTGAAAAGGGTTAATTTTCAATGGGCAAATAATTTTCTCCTCACACAACCAAAGATTGAAATTTCATCTTTTTTAATAAAGGGTATGAGATGAAAACTTGTGATATTATGTCGGCCACAGCATGACATAATAAAATCTAAAAACTATCTATTTGGGATTCTAATCGGCTTTGTGGTCAAATTTGGCTGCCCATTGGGTCTCCACATCATTGCTACGAAATATAAATAATTTAAGCTGATAGCAAGCAACTGTATGATAGCTTTTCCAGTTCTAAACTGGCTCTCTTTAGTGGCCCAGTATTAAGGAAGATCCCTTATATCAAATGGTATTTGTTATATATCCATACGATATGGTATTTGCTATAATGTTGACTTTATGTAACATATATCTAACGTCGCAATAATGCTTAGCTAACGTGACAATGCTTCGCTTAACTTCGTGTTCAGAAAGACAACTCTGTTGAGGATACCCCTCATATATTATTCATACTTTTTACAACTATAATTGTTAGGCCCACTGTAAGACACAACTTTTTCTTCAAATTTTAAAGTTACAAATCTTCAACCCAAATAATTTCCTGTGGCTTTTTAAAAAATTCGTGAGAACGGATGGCTTTAAAAATCCACCATTTTGAATTTAATCAGGCATCGGAGTCCTAGGACCGCGCGAAAATCATCGCCAAAAGAGTCTGGGACGAGTTGAAGAAAATCTTCTCTTTTGCGGGGACAAATTCCCGACTGAAATGAGATACGAGCATACAAATATTAAAATGACTTTTCTAACCTTTTACAGACAGCTGCAAAACGTCCTTAATTTATACCAATTTATTCTTAATTAAACCTTTGATGTTCCACCGGCGAAAATTAAAATCACCCCGGAAGAAAATGTATTGTTTGTATTATTAAATATACTCGTGTTATTAAAAAAACTTTAAGTTTAATTTTCACAGTTGATTAAATATGTCGTTTTACAACTAAAAATACATATACAAATAATGTAAACTCTTGTGTATTGCGTCAAGTGACATGATAATTATTTTTCGACCGGATTTTTGGCGGAATTAGTTCGCAAACCTTGTTCTTTTAATCTCGAGTATATTTGAAATATTTTAATTGAACAGGAAGCGAACTTTGATAGCAATTGAGATAGCGTTTATTATCGTACATATCTTGAGTTTGTGGGTGTATCACTAAGATGTCATGGGAGGGAGAGGATAAATTTTTCAAGTTTGGAACTTTGTCAACCTTTGATTCACGGTGTTGAAATTGTGCAGAATTTATTTTTCTACATAAATTTAAAAATTATTCACTGAAGTGAATACTGCAAGATTATAATAATTGTTTTAGTATGTACCATAACAAAACAAAAATGACAAAAAAAAACAACGAAAATATTTTAAAAACAGTTTGTATTTCAGCTCGCGTAATAGTTGTAAACAAAACAGTATTTATACGCTTTCGGTAATTCTATCATTTTTACTCATTAGAAATAGCTTTAAAGACTGGCTTTACACACTGTTAAGCAAAACTCCGTGGCTTTCTTCGTATTTGGCGAAACTGCAGTTTCGTTTGGTACAAATATTTGCTCGCCTGTAACCTTGACGAAACGGGAAGCCATTTTGTTTTTGTTCGCTGACCTCAGAATGACATTTCGTCAAAACATTTTTCTTCAAGATTGGTCTAGAAACAAACTTGGAATAGGGTTAGGTTAGGATTAGTGTTTGGACCATGAATCGATATATTCCATGTAGTTGCAAGAATGTTTTTCTTTACTTACATGGCATGAATTTTTTTTGGATCTGCCACCCCTCCTGGATATCTAATGTTCCACCCCTTATTAAAAATATTTTAATTGAGGAGGAAGCGAATTCTGATAGCAATTTAGATCGCGTTTATTATCGCAAAAGGAGTATAGTAGATTAAGAATGATATTGTTCCGGCAAGTATGATTCAAATTTCCGGCAGAAATAACAATATACATATGTACTTGTATTTCAAAACCGGTGACAGCAGTCGCGTACTTTTCATGAGTCGAACTTAATTCACATCTTAGTCTGCAAAAAAAGGCGTATACTTAATTAAGTGCGCTTCTTCCCTTCGAAACCTGGGGCGAGTGACATTCATAACAACAAAAATGGCGGTCTTTTTCAAATATAATCTCATACGATCAGTTCTCGTGATTAAAAAAGCTATATATATGTAAACCAAGCATGACGCCTGGACGTAAAAGGGTTATTTTCATAAGAAAATTGCTTGCGAAGAACGAAACAAGAAGAAAATCGTTGCATAATATATTGAGAAGAGAAGAATAGTGTTGCGAACTGCCATGCTGTACTGCCATAATGCATACCCCCCACAAAACAGACAACAAACCTCCCCCAACTCCAGCTATGATTCTCACCGCCCCCACCAAATCCCCCAACCAAACCATAAATAATGAACACTCCCTTAGGGAAAACATAGCCTATCGAAGGGAAGATGGCTGTGAAACTCATTAGAACAATGTAACTCATTATCTATGTTGGTCAACGTTTATTCATAAATCTGGTCCTTCACCGTCACGTGTGTATTGTACCAATAGCAATGTTTTAGGAAAGTCACCTATCCGTCACTCGAACAATTGGGAAACTGGAAATTGCTATTGGTGGATTTGGTAAAAATACAATACACACGTGACGGTGAAACGACCAGATTTATGAATAAACGTTGACTAACATAGATGATGAGTTATATTGTTATTCTAATGAGTTTCACAGCCATTTCCCTTCGATAGGCTATGGGGAAAACAAGACCGTGAAAGAGCTTGTATATCTGATACAAAACCCTACTGATTTCCATAAACCTTAAGTTCATTTCATTGAAGAATTCAAACGCTCAATTTAAAGCTCTCGTGTATATGTTAAATTAACATTATATAAATTAATAATCATATCAAATAAATCATACTTTTTAATTTGTAGAAACTGAGCGCGGAGGATGGACTGAACTATATGTGTAAACAAGCCAGTGAGATTTGCAGAAGATACGCACTCGACCAGAGGGAAGGATTACACAAATGAAGCTGAATTTCAATGAACAATAATTTAAATATCTTATTTAATAAAATATTTTGATGCTTTAATTACTGGAAGTGGACCGCAATGCCAATGGAAATATTGTAAATTATTTAAAGGAATTTATTGTGTAATGGAAAGAATTAATAAAAAATTGTATTTAAAAAATGCTGATGTACCATTGGACCTGATTTTTCGGTGCCGGCTTGTTCTGACACGAATTTCGCGATCTAATCAATCATTCTAATTCGCCAACCAAAACATTTACATAATTCAATAATATTGTAACTGTATACATGACTCAAAATAAAAAAGCTGCGAATTGATATACATCGAACTTCAGCGCGCTATTGTACGTGAATTACTTGGCGTATGAAGTGTAATCATATATAACTTTATGACCAGAAATTGTCTCCACGATTTTAAGGTATGAGGAGAAAGCAGAGTTGCAAAAAGCTGCGGGCATACCGCCCGTGAGGAGGTTTACCACATGTGAGGTCAGTGAGAATGGTTTAACCCATTAAGCGCAAGCGCTCTCCCCTTGACGAGTAAAATCGTCTGGCGTTAGACAGAGTAAAATAATCTGGCGTTAGACAGAGTAAAATAATAAAGTAGGGCGCAATGCGACTCAATGGGTTAATTTGGAACACTGCAATCGACACTAACATCATAAAACAAATAAATGATACTTGGCAAGACAGGTTGAGGTTGACAGGATGCTGATGTTGTACTGGTAGTTATGTGGTACAGCATTTCCTAACGCGTGCAATAAGCTTTCGTGCGACCAGCGTTTGTGTAGCAATCGTAACGCATATACATCTGCTGCCAGTTGCCAGCCTGTACTGATTGTCTGTATGCGAGTACAATGCAATCAACCAGCTGATAAATGCTAAATACTGGTCAGTAGAAAATAGGAGTAAGAAACCAATTTGAAAAAAACTTTTATTCACATTATCTTGACACAGGTTTAACTGAAACTTGAAACTTTATCCGGAGAACACTTTTTGCAACTCTGAGAGAATTCAATAGTTTGGGACCTTGAGAATGTACCGTGAACTGTTTTATATTAATGCCCTGTCACACTATTGCGTATCGTACTAGCGTATGCCAGCGTATGAAAAATATCACTCATACGCCGGTATACGCTGACATACGCGCTAGGGGTACGTTAGGCATAGGTTGTATACGTTTCAAGCACGGTCGCATACGGTGGCATACGCTGGCATACGGCAAGGCAGAACATTTTTTTTAAGCATGTTCAAAAATTTTTTGCATGTGTATTCGGATGTATGCTTTATACGATAAGCATACTCTAGACACACGCTGAATACGCTAGAGGTACGCCAGATGTACGGTACTCATACGCTGGCATTTCAAAGGATTCTTGTGCGTATGAAAATTATTTCATTAATAATTTTCATACGCTTCTCATACGTTTCTCTCATACGCAATAGTGTGACAGGGCCCTTTAGTTTCTGTTTTCGTTTTCGTTCCTTGCTTTCATATAAAGTTTCAAGCTCGAATTCGAATTTAAAAGTATTTAAAATATTTCTCAGTTTCATGTTAGGATATATGGTTAGGCCATTTCTTGCTTTGGTTTTTAACATTAAATGAAATATAAAATTTGCTGACTATGTCATACTCGTGTCATTAATATTCAGAATAAATCAGTTGCGCAATTATTCCAGGTCAATATATATCAGTCAGTTCAACCCAAATCCGAAATTTTCGATCATGTTCCAGTGAATAAAAGAGGTTCTTCACTATTTTATAAGTAGTCCTCCCCCCGTTGAATACACGAGCCAAAGATCTTTCTAGCAGGTCATGCACATTTCCCGGGGGGAAGGAAGACGAGCATTAAAATGCAATATTTTTACACAACACATAACCACAGAGATATAACGATAAGGTACCTTTATCCTATTGAAACATCTTTCTAAAGTCATCATTGCTGAGTTTCGGCTTTTCGTCCTTGCTTGTTGCAACCTCGTTCCCAGGCTCTGCTGATGGTTTCGATGTGTCCGTGCCAGGTGTTTTTTTAAGAGCCCTGGGTACAAATTGTATCTGGGTACGAGCTCGGCCAGGGCGGCTAAAACAGATAAAAATCATAGATTTTATTTATATACAATTTATACTGGATAGCTCTATCAGTCTGCAGGGTATATAAAGAAATGAAGCTATTGTTGGAATTTGAATGCATATATAGCACTATGCTGATCCCACAGGCCGGGTGCGTGCAACAGGAATACAAGTGAATTTTATGCACGACGAAGTTATTTAAAACCTTAATTTGGTTTCGTCCAACATATGAATTATATGTTGATTAATTTAATTCAGCGCATAAAACAGAAAAAAAACTCGTTGCTCTGTAGTCAGTTGAAACTTTTTTTTTGAACTGATATGACTAATTAGTAATTTGGCAATTTTTTATGCAGTTATGCTCCTTCATGCGATTAGAAGCTATTTTAAATTTCCAGGAGCATAAATCTTAGCACAACTATAGCTTGATTTCTAAAGGTCTCGTGTTTCTTGATACACCCTGTAGTGCTGTTCCAGTTTTCAGGAATAAACTGGAAGGCCTGAAAAAAACCTGCGTATTTGATAAAACTGGAAGCACTCTGAGAGTCTCACATGCGACCCCAGACCTGTCTGGATGCTGAGGAAAACATTTGGCTTGGCAGGAAGATGGATCGAAGAAGATTTTCAATTTTTTACACATACTCTATGTTACCGAAAAATTTTAAGGAATCATTATATCATACCCTTATCTGTCGTTTAAGATTGTGAACTGTTGTTCAATGTTCAAATTTGGCGTAATGTATGCCATTTCCACTGTTTTATATGCGATTTTGAGAAACATTTGAAAATGGCAAATTCAGGATCCAACATTAAAGACTTTTTCCAAGTCCGATACGACTCGGGGGATATTATAATCAGGGAACTGCATACTGCAGGTGTCGAACCTCGGTCACACACGCAAAAATCTCACATCTTGTAGCAAGTTTGCCAACAAGTTGTGTTCGCACTGCTTGGCCCAAGTTGTCAACAAGTATGGAACAACTTCTTAACAACTTGTTAACAACTTGTTGATATTATCAGACTTGTTGTAAGGTTGTCCCAACAAGTCCGATACAGTCTTGATATAACAATACTGTTACAATCTTGCGTCGTCAAACTTGTAACATTCTTGTTATATCATGACTGTATCAGACTTGTTAGAACAACCTTATAACAAGTCTGATAATAAGTTCTTCGTTCTAAGTCTGATAATGCCATCAAGCTTGTTAGAAGTTGTTATTAACAGCTAGTTACATACTTATTACAACGACTGCAACAAACAGTGCGAACACAACTTGTCGACAGTTTGTGAACAGATTTGTGACAGTTGCTTGCAGACCTGTATAGCAACTTTTTACGTTTTCACGTGTGCAGGTAACAAGCACATGCGCAAATCTCTGTACCCTGCTCTTTACCTTCCTTCTTGGCGATGAACTTTCGGTTCATTTTCTTGTCGATGTTTTTTCGGAGGATTGGACAGCGCGACATTAATGATACGATTGTTGATTGTTGTCTGATCTTGTTTTAGAACGGCAGCCGCCGCTCCTGACTGGAAAGACACAAAGTGAAAATAGTTAAGAGAATGTACCCGAGACATGTAGCCAAAAATAGCGAGTATAAGATACCCCGGTTTCGG